ATACCGTACTTTTCCACTTTTTTTTTCCTAGCCATAAGACTAAAATAGGTAACAACTCAATTTATCAAATAAACTTATTTGAGCCTGTCCCTGGACAATACATTTATATAGTAATAAATTTCCCCTGTGAAGAATCACATTTTTTGAGTAAACTGAGATTTTGATGGAGTTTAGCCATACTATGAGAATAGAGTGAAATGGAGAAACCAACTGGAAATAGAGTTCTGGATTTTTCTTCTTTCTTAGACTTCATTAGGACCAGGAAGTGTTTGGTTTAGATACAGACTGATAAACCAATTTTCTTTTTCCTAGGTTCTTGCCACACCTTTATTTCTCTTACTTACAATATTCAAATATGCTTTACTGCAGAAAAAGCTTTTTTTTAACCCCTTAAAGTATAAGCACATGAGCAAGTTACTGTGGGACAAGGTATATTTGGGGTGGTTTAAAAGCAGGTAGATTACCACTAGCCAGTAGAACGAGTAAATTATCACTAGTCTAGATCAACTGTAATGTTTTATATAGGGTTGCTATGGTTGGCCTATGTTAAAAGGGAACATCATGTACTTAGCAAGGTGTTGTGTAATACTTGGCACGAATGTCCTGTAGACACTATATTATACTCATAAAGTTACCACATCATAATTACCAGATAATCAGGTGTTTCTGAAAAGGAATTTTTGTGTCCAGTTTTGGTTGCATGGCCTAGAATTCCTCTATGAGGATGGTGGATTACAGAGATTTTTAACTGGGTTGTCTTGCTGCATTCATTCTTTCCACATCCAGTTATCCCTATTGTGCAAGTTTTAAACTGCTTGAATATTTATTATGTTAACCTATCTTGTCAAGCACTGAAAAGCAAATGAGTTAATATCTGTATTATTCTTTGTGATATAGTTTTATTACTCTGAAGGGCTTTGACTTGCACTTTTAGGTACAGATAAGGTTGGACGCAGAAAATGGAGGTCTTGAAAGTAGTGCTGCCGGTGTTTTGTCTCCTGTGTGAAAGGTGTATGTCCCCTCTCCTGCTTAGCCGCTGCCTTAAACTTAACCACTGCTGTAGCGGGGGCCAGGCTGTTAATATTGCATGTGTTGATGGTAGTAAGGAAAACCTTTTGCTTGCTAGTTGTTGGTTAGGAAAGAACAACTCCACCTCCTGACATGTAGAGGGTTTTTTTGGAGGGTTGTTTCTTTTTAGCGACAGGTGAGATACTTCCTGCTGTGAACTATGTTTAAAGGGCATGGGAAAAGAGAAGGCAACGTTAAAAACACACTTCATGGGCTAATGATTTTGCGATCTGTTTTGGGGATTTCTTGTGGCCCCAGGCCACTTTGGTCTCCTCTGCCATACTTTATTTCACAAAAATGAAGAAGGATCAGATGGCTTGAGTATGTCTGCAAAGGCTGGGCAGAGGCTCTGAAGCTACTCTTTAGAGCACGTTCTGCTCATGCTGACAGAGAGCCAGCAGCCATGTGTAGTAGGAAAGCACCCGAACACATGGGAATCCACATGCCTGAGCATGCGCACAGCGATCTGGTACTCTAGTAAGTGGCTTAGTAGATCACCAGGCATGGTTGTGCAGCCTGCTTGTACTCTGCCTGCCAGCAGTGCTGGAACATCAGCAGATCAGGCTTCTGTGCATCTGTTTTGTATTTCTAAGGTTATCCTTTAGGTGCACATAGGGTCTTTATGTCTGAATGTCTGCCCTGGACTTGTACCGGCCCAGTACAGAATCCTCTTATCTGGTCCTCTCTTCCTCTTGAAGAGCTTCTGAGGGACAACAGCAGTGTACTAAATTTCATGCAAGTTGCACAGGCAGTAATTCTGAAGAGTGTGTTTTCCTTGCTTATTCATATATGTAAGTGAGGTTATGAGAATTTTTTGTCTGTGTGAAAGCTATTGTAAGGTCAAGAAAAGTGTTTGTACAGATGTTTTCAGCTGCTGCTGAAGTAGTGTGTGGTAGTCCTACAGGACTGTTCTGATTTCTCTGACTTTTTTGGAGAGTCTGATTTAGACAGCTTTGCTTGTAGGACACAATAAGTGAGGCTAAACTTACTTTCTTTGAGATATATAATCATGGAGTATGATTTTCCTTTTTCCTTCATTTTCTCCCAATAGAAAGTAAAACTTTATTGGGAATACTGAAGGGATAGAGGCTCAATGTGCTGTTTACAGGACAAGTGGACTGAAATACACGGACCGTGTATCTTGGGGCAGAGTATGAGATTATTCTGCAGATTGTGTGAGCAGGCTGCAAAAGTTTGGTGCAAGAAGTACTGATGTTCATCCTGAAAAGATGTGATAGTGGGAAAGAAAGCTCATTTGTACGTCAGAATGTCTGAGACTTTGGGGCTTTGGTTACAGCTGGTTTTGAGTGTACCGTGGTAATTCTTAATGCTTGATTTTTTTCTTAGAACAGAGATTTCCTTGTATAGATGGCTTTTAAAAGTGGAAGTGGCTTTTTAAAAGTAGAACCAAATCTATACTGCTTTTCAAACATTCTGTCCTAAAACAGAGGCACTTCACTGTTAAATAACACCTGTAATTTTTCATAATTGAAGCTTAGGGAGACATGATAAAGTGGTGAGGATGTCCAGTACTTCTTTTTTGTTGGTTTTGCTTCCTATCCTTATTCCTTACAGCTTTTGTATTTTAGTACGGGTTTTGTGCTTGACCTTATTATATGTACTTTTATGTTTCTGCTGCTTAGTTTCTTTAAGTGTACAAAGATCTTCAGTATATAAAGCACTTCTTTGATTTCAATGACATCTCTACCATGCATTCCTCTGTGACTTGAGCTCTTATTTCTCGGTACTAATGTAGCCAACTCATAGGACAAGTACATCGTGTTTGTTAGGTTGCCATCCTTTGTGGGGTGTATTACTGATGTGGTGGGGGCTGTATTAGTAATAGCCTGAGAATTTATTTGACATAAAGTCTTCCAGAATGGGACTTTCATTCTGACCGAAATCTTAACTGGGTGTGAGCTGTGGCAATGTCTAAAAAGCAGCATTAGTCTGGAACTTTTGTAAATGTAATACCCTGTGGTGAAATTATGCCCCTTTTTTTAAGGGGGGGAAGCAGCAGGTGTGAAAATATACTGCTTAATGGAGATGTCAACAAATATTAAAGCTGAAATATGGTGTTGTAGATACGTTAGATCTAGTTTCACCTATAATAAAGGTGAAATATATGACCGCATGGTGGAGTGTGATAATTTGTCCCTCCTTCCTGTGACAACACTTCCTCAAATGTATAATTTTTGTTATTTTGTTCAAAAAGGACAAGAGTTAACATGTGCAAATATTAAAGAGTTCTGACTACTGATCTCCTGCTTAATAATTTCTCCAGTTCCAGTCAGGAAGAGAATAATGCTTTCTGTTTACAAAGAAAACCAGATGTCTTTTTAAATTCACACTTAATACAAAGAATTTTAGTTCAACTTTAAGAAGGCACCTATTGTAAGACTGGAAGGAAGTATGTCTAGAAATTAGTATGAGGCTGGTAAAAGAGACTATGTTTAGCTTCTTCACAAGATGTCTTGGCACAGCTGCCATAATCTTGTCTGTCAGGGATGTATATGTGTGCTCACTTTTTTCTTTATGGCAAATATCTAACCTGTTGGCAATTAAACTTAGCTCTGTGCCATGGCTTATTATTCAAGGTGAAGGAATAAACTTGAGGAAGACAGTTTCTGTTGGCTCTTGGGGCTCATCAGTCCAGATCCACTGTGGAGACTTGAGCACAGGTGGTGGGCATAACGAAACAAGGAATAATTACCTGAAAAGGTAAAATAAGCTTTGCTTCTGGTCCGGCAGAAAAGAGAACCTGCTAGATGCTGGAGGAGTGGCTCTGACTGCTTTTTTTGAGTGGGAGGAGAAGGGGAGATTACTTTGGTACTTGGCTTCTTATAGTTACAGGAAAGCAAATGATGAATCGGGAGCTGGCCCAGGTTGGTCAGCACAGCGTAGGTGAGATTGCCTCATGGAGGGTCAAACTTGATAAGTTCAACAATGTGCTGGTACTGTGCTATTCATAGTAAAACTGAGTTGACTGTCCAGTTACCTCAGGCTAACTTTTTGCTATTAGTTATTCCGTGGGGAGAATAAACAGCTTTAAAACCAACAAAACGAATGTAAAACTGGAAAGAAATTAAATAATAGTGGTGCTGTGGGTGCTTCAGGAATAGAAGTGACTTGTGACATAAGCTTAGATCAATTTAGGAACTATCACTTGAGGACTGAGGGGTTTATTTTTTTCCTGTTTGGTCCTCTGGGACATAGCTAAGGAAGCTTCTTTCTGTGATTTTTTTTTTTTTTTTTTTTTAACAGATATAAGCAAAAGAAGCATAACTTTAAGCTGGGAACAGCTTTTGCTTTAAGAATGCATACTTATATTTTGGAATATGAAACTAGTCTTGGTCATGATGTCATTACTTTTGCTCAGTTGAATTAGCTCTGAAGAGTTTTTCATCTGCTAAGGTTAATTTGGAATTTGTATTTCAGTGGTGAAATGTTTTAAGATTAAAATATGTGGAAGAAGAAACATAACTTGAATTAAAATATATGATTTCAAATTTTATACCGGATAATCATTCTTCAGCTTGGATACTCTTAGATGAGTAAATGGTTAATTTTGAAATACACTGATTTCTGTATTATCTTAACAATGTTCTAACAATAAATGAAGATCATGGAGATGAGATTTTGCAGGGTTTCTTATGTTTATCAAAGGAACAGAATTCAGTGAATAGTTATTCTGTGTGTTGCTCGCGGAACCAATTTAGAAGTTTGGTTACAATAATAGTAAATATTTTTATCAGTAAAATTTCTTACATTTCCTCTCATTTTGAAGAATAGTTATAAAGACTACAAATATATCTGTGGAAATCGTACTTTACGTGCCTGGACTTGGATTATTAAATGGACTTGATTTATGTTTTGTAAATATTTGTCTTGCTTATAAAACTTGGTTTTGTTTTTTTGTTTGTTTTTAAATAGGAATATATTGATGACTCTTTCAGATTTGGAAAGATCATGGTTAGTACATTCATTAAGGTGAGTGTCTTATGCTGACTCCAAGAAAGTGATTTATAGTATCAGTTCTTTCTTAGTGGGTCTGAACTGATTTTTGTTTTGTTGCTGCTTTGTAAGCTTCCTTTGAGCTGTAATTTCAGAATGCTGAAAAATAAAAAGATATTCAGGGCATTAAATTTTTAAAGACCTGTTGTACAAATCATGAAGCACATGGAAATGATGTGACTTCTCTAAATCTTTAGGAAAATGAAATTTAATGTAGTATCAAGTGCTACATCTGCATTGTTTGCTATGCAGAAGTGTATTAATAAACTTCCAGTCTTTTGATTGCTCTTGCAGGTGTTTTAAGAAACTTTTAATGATGAGGAAAATTCACGGGTCCAGAAAACAAAGTAGTTGATGTTACTCAGATAATCAGGATGATAGCTCAGGAAGTAAAAGGAAAATGTTATACTTCTAAACTTTGATTTAGAAAGCAGGTCGTAGCTTCCAACATTATTTTTTGGTCAGTTGTGTTCTACTTTGTAACAAGCTGATATTATTCTAATCTCTGTTTGAGAAGTTGAACACATGGCATCAGAGGTACTGACTTATGCATGTTTGTGCGAGCAGCTGATGACAAAAAAGGCTTATTACAACTCAGGTGGGATGTGTGGTGGATTAAGAAAGCAGAATAGATGTTCAGAATTACGGAAATATTTTGAAAATGAAGAAAAAAAGAAACAACTGAGAGTTTAAAGGAGAATGGTGGTGTCATGTCATCTGCGATGCAAAGAAAATTTATCCAAGTTGTTTTGTTATATGTGATTTGGTCATGGGACAATATTGGCCCAAGACAGGAAAGGGAAGGATAGCAGTTCTGGATAGTACTGTAATATTGCAATATGGATGAAATAATTGAGATTTTGAGGATTTATACTGTAGTGTCTGATTAGTCTAAATGATTGAAAAAAAAATTACCCTTTTTCTATGGCTACAGAATGTGATCTGAATAGGTTTGTAAGGCTAACAATGTTCTCTTTTTCAACGCTGCAGGTGTGACTTCAGTTCTCTACAGAAAGTGAACTTGCTTGGGATCCTGTAATACAGGTGTGTTCCCTAAAACAGGTTGTTCATTCTTTTCTAATATTTGAAGTCTTCTATGCTTAGAATAGATATATCTCAATATCAAAGGAAACATTGTCACAAGTTCTATATTCTTTGTATACTGATCAAATTAGACTGCCTTCTGTGGAAAAGACCTTCTTGAGATGCCATACGTGGATGAACTCTTTTAGTTCTTGGGGATTTGGGCATTCTCAGTGACGTGTACATTTCCTCTGATAAATAATAGAAAACCAGAAGATAAGATTTAACTGCCTCTAATTCTACTCAAACTGATAAAATGCCTGGTTTAAATGACTTGTATTTAGGTTCAGATAAAGATCCTTTTGGTGTAGATTTGTCTTAGCTTTCAGTTAAATTGTAGAGAGGCTTATTATGAGAATTTTAAGTAGTTTACAAGAACTGTTTTTTCTTAATGTCTTCCTAAACGCATTAAGTAGTTGAAGCCAATATGAGACCCAATTAAAATGGTACATGCTGCTGCTACTGCAGATATCCTCTTCAAATCTAAACTTTGTTAAACCTTCTTTACTTCTTTATCTATGAAAATGTCATGATGGAGGTCATTGAATTAGAGAAGTGGTATGTCACTTCATAAATAGTCAGGCAAGACCTTGCGGCTAATTTCTCATAGATCTTGATTAGTGAAGGTAGAAACTTAACTCCATTAAGGAAATACAGATTACAGGGAGATGAGTTAGTGAGAAGGAATTGGAAGAGCTGTCTCTAAACCAGGATTTAACTAGTGCTGAAAGACATTCCACGTTTTCAGTGGCCAAGCTAAAAATTGAGAAATCTGCAAGTAGCTCCAGATACGGCAATTTCTAACACTTCTTGTGGTCAGAGATAGAGAGCTTATAATCCTGTTTTATCAATTTAAATGTTTTGTCTTTATCAGAAAGAACCAATGTACACAGATTTGTATTGTAATCTGAGACTCGTAGAACTCTTATCAGCTTTGCAACGTTATGCAGAATGGAATGTTGTGAATAAATTCTTCCTGAAGTCTGGCCAACACAAATGTACTTTTAACAGTTGGTAGACATGCAGCCTTTTAAATTAAGGCATGTTAACATGGGCTGCCTTCCAAACTGGTTAGCTTGTGACTTGAACACTGTTCCAAATTTTTGTTCCAAACATTCCTTCTGCATATTCAAATGAAGCACTTAAAGTGATGTAATTGTTTGCCACACAAATGTTGATCTTCTGAACTTCTGATTCTGCTGTTTCTGTGTGTTACATGGCAGTGGCATGTACCAACAGGCTTAGAAGAACTTTCAGATTTTCCTTTTCCTGCCAAAATTCTTGGTGTCTTTCTTGGAAAACTGGGGGGTTTTTTTTAGGTAGAATAACAGTGTTGATGGACTCTGTTAGTACAGACTTGTGAATGTAAGGAAACACCTCTTTTGTTTTTTTTACCATGAGGGTGAGTGAGCACTGGAACAGATTGCCCGGAGAGGTTGTAGAATCTCCATCCTTGGAGATATTAAAAAGTCATCTCGCAGTGGTCTGGTCCTGGGAAGCTCTCTCTAGATGACTTTGCCTGGACAGGGAGTTGGACAAGATGACCTCCAGAGGTCCCTTTTAACCTCAACCGTTCTATGATTCTGTGAATTGAAATTTTGTAACTGCTTAGTAAACTCTTTAATGCCCACACCAAGCCCACAGCAATGTAGATGAGTTTAGATCAGGTGTTAAAATGGTATTCTAACCAAACTTCTTAAGCTCTTAGAACAAAATCCCTGATGTAGTCAACAGGAGCTCCGTTATCTACTGGAGAGGTTGACCCTTCATTCTTAGTGGCTGCGTCAGCCTATGCAGACTATGCATGTACATAGTATGATACCATACTGATAGCAAATTGGAAGGGTTATTTTATCTAGTGTAGAAGATTCTGTTATTTTAAAACTCTATAAGACCTTATTTTAGACCAAAAGTGTTTAAAATGCAAATTTGTGTCTGATTCCTCTGCTGGATGACAGTTTCATGTTTAACCAACATTTATCTGCATAGGCATGGCATAACTGTGAGCATCTCTCTGGTATCTGTTTGAAGAGGACACTGTTGGGGGGCCCAGGTATTTCTTTTATATTTTATAGTTATAGAGGTGTCCGGACTCTATAATGGTCAAAGATTTCCAGTAGAAGAGGATGAGACGAGAATTAAATGCATGTGGGAGACTCTGGACCTAGGCACTTCATGCTTTTGATGCTAGCTGGGAGGGAGCTTGATAAACACTTTTACCAACTTTTCATAGAAAAAACAGGTAAGAAACATGCATAATTGTTATGATTCATGTTAGTAGAAAGGTGCTTTCCCCTCCTGTCCCCTAAAGCTTATGCAGAAACTATATTGTTCCATTTGTTTTATTGTAGAACTGTGATTTAAGTCATATATATATATAGTTATTCAGAACTATTGTTTAGGTATAAACTGGGAGTTACCTTATTTGAAGCTAAATGTTTTTAGCCTAAAACTGTTCTTATTCTTAAATTCAGGTTTGACTTTCTTTACTGAGGGAACAGTCTGGTTGGAAGCATCCTTATTATGAATGCAAGGGCCCTAGCCTGGTGCTTATGCTGACCTCTTCCTGTATAGGTGCTGCTATAAATTCAGGGTGGCGCTTGAGTGGCTGTGGACCAAAGCTATGTCTTGGTCAGTTCCTCTATAATAAAGTGGCAGCTGTAAACAGTGGGAAATTAGGATCACCTTTATAAAGATATTACTAATTTTTATTTAAATAACAGCCCTGTGTTCAGGATTCTCTTGAACTGAAAGGTGAATCCTTATCAACAAATTGTGAAATGAATGCTGTGAAATTCAGATTTTATGGAAGCACTTGCGATATTCTAGATGTTGTAGATAATTTTATTGATATGAGTAGAAAATTGACTTACACCTCATTCCTTGTTAAGAAAAAGAGCAAAACTCGTTCATAACGACTTGCAGTGAGATGAGGAATCTATTAAAAAGAAAATTTCTTTTTTTTAATTCAAAAAGTCTTAAATTGTTAAGCATCTTCTCGTCTTTTTTTTTTTCTTGTAGCAAAGTCTGAGAATACTGCCATCCTTTTTTTTTTTTTTCTTCCCTCTTCCTAGAAAGTGTCCTAGTGAGGGTATTCTCTTAATTGTTCTTTATCTTGCCACAAAAAAAGTGAAGTTCTCAATGTTATTGCTGGTGAAGTTGTACAGTTAGACAAGTTACTTCTTGGATTATTGTTTGCTTTTCAACATCTTTTCCTGATGTTTTGCTACTACCAAACATTTCATTATTGTCTAATTGCACAGGGAGAATGCATTCATTGTGGATGTTAATTTTAAATTTTCTCTAAAATTGCATGATATGATTAAATTCCTGCTAGTTATTTGCCATACAAATGAGAAAACTTACCATTTTGCAAAGCAGTCATCCAGAAGACATGTGCAAACTCTTCTTGTTGGTAAGATCTTCAGTAAGGTTGAATCCTGACCATTAGGAATGTCTCCTATTGGTTGTAGTACAGTTAAGAGTCCACAAATATTCACGTGTCTCAAGTATAGTCATAAATTGTGGTGTGCTTATTGCTTCATTTGGGAATATTGGTAAGTTCATATTAGTTGCAAATTTAGACTCAAATCTTAAGATGGTTTTTCTTTTACTCAGTTCTTGAATTAGATAATTTTGGCTCTAGATTTTTAGTTTTTCATTCTTTAAATGCCAGTACTAGACATGATATTTTTTGTGTGAAAAGAAATCTGGAAAAATCTGTTCTCTGAATGTAACCAGATCTTTGCTGAAACGAGAGTTTAAATGCCATAGTTTCAAAAGAATAATAGAACCATAGAATGGTTTGGGTTGGAAGATGACTTAATTCCAACCCCCTTGCCATGGGCAGGGACACCCTCCACTAGACCAGGTTGCCCAAAGCCCCATCCAAC